GGTTGTGTTTTGGTGGGCTGGGCGGTGCTGGGAGGGTGGTGTTTCGGTGGGATCGGGTGGTTTCGGCCCACAGCTGTTTCGGCGGGGCGGCGCTGGGGAAGGAGAGTTTGTTTCAGCAGGGCTGGGCGGGGAGGGTGGTGTTTCGGTGGGATCGGGTGGTTTCGGCCCACAGCTGTTTCGGCGGGGCGGCGCTGGGGAAGGAGAGTTTGTTTCGGCAGGGCTGGGCGGGGAGGGTGGTGTTTCGGTGGGATCGGGTGGTTTCGGCCCTCAGCTGTTTTCTTTGGAGTAATATGGCCCTCGCCGCTTTACGAGTTGTGCAGGCCTGGTCTAGAGGAAGGGAAAGGGCATTGTCCTCTTGTGCCACACAGAAACTAAGGAATCTGGCCAGCAAGGCCTGGGGAATTCTAGGGTCTCCTCTGTTGAAGAGATTTCAACCTACACAGCAGGGCCAGGTCCTGCCTCGGTTGCCCCAAGCAGTGGAGGGAGCTCAATGGCTGGTGACTGGTTTGGGAGGAGGGAGTCCAGTGTTCAGATTTGCCCACCCATGGCACTGTCCCTGGATGACCAGAGCCACGAAGTTCCCAGCAGGCTGTGCCCATGTGGCCGCCAGCAGCCAAGGGCAGCATGGTTCAGGGGCCAGAGCAATGAACCGGGACTCAGGAGACTTGGGTTCTATCTTTGCCTCTGCTGTGTGACCTTGGGGAAGTCACATCCCTGCTCTGTGCCTCAGTTTCCCCTTCCACCCTTTGTCTGTGGAGACTGCCCCTTGCTATGTGTTTGTACAGCATCTAGCACAATGGGGCCCTGATCTACTGTGATACAGATAATGACATGGAGCCTTGATGAGTGGCATGATTGGGAACAGGAACTGGGACCGTCAGGGGGCTGACCGACGGGGGAACAGAGATCCGACCTGCCCCTATATATGGCACACAGCTGCTCTCCTTCCCTTTTCTGTGGCAGCAGCATGCCAGTGGGGGCAGCAGGGGCGGGCAGAGTTCAGGGAGAGCAAAAAGGCTGCCAGTACCAATGTGAGCGGGTGGCAGTTTCAGGATGAGTCACTGGGGTCTAGAATGAGCCTGGCATCCTGTTTGCAGTCACATTGTGACAGGACACAGACGGTGGCACCAAGTACCACATTGAGTCAGTGGCCTGCCAGCCTGCACCCGCACAGACCTGTCGGGTCTGGGGCGGGGGCTTTGGGCAAGGACGTAGGGGGCTGGCTGGAGCCCACCGGCTTGCGCCCACACAGAATTGGTGTGGCTGGGCAGGTGCCCTGGGCAAGGCCATGCAGGGGTGGACCCAGATTTCTTATGAATCCCCTTGCAGGGAACCGCTGCTGAAAGCGGCAGAAGGATCTACCATCCCCCGGGAGTAGCCACGGTAATAAGACAGCGTTTAACGTGTGCCCCTCAGCCCCCCGGCTCAGTTTTTACATTTTTTTTGGCTTGGTTTGTGACCCCTTGTGACCCCCACCCCTTAAGCCAGGGGCTCTCAAACTGGGGGTCAGGACAAAGTTCTGACATGGGGGGTCGCGAGCTGTCAGCCTCCACCCTAAACCCCGCTTGCCTCCAGCATTTACAATGGTGGTAAATATATTCAAAGTGTGTTTAATTGAGAAGAAGGCTTGCTGTGTGAAAGGGATTGCCAGTACAAACGTTTGAGACCCACTGCCTTACGCGCTGCAGGAGCCACGTGAATCAGGCAGAAAACCCACATTGCTCGCAACATTTTTATCCCCCCCAAAATCTTCATTCCAGATGAGAAACATCCGCTGCCCTGTGGGACGTTTCACACCTAGTGTATCCCACTGCTAATCTTTAGACCTGACACTTCTACACAACCCCCGCTTCCTGGTTCGCTCACACCCTGTCTCATTCACAACCTCCTTCGCTCTGGGGGTTGTTTTTTGTTGTTGTTTGGACGTTGGAAGTTGAAACAAAATTTGTTTGTGTCATTTGTAAACGTTCTTTTGAAATCTCCTCCAGGATAATTGAAACGTGAGATCAGGGTTGACAGTTCCATGTTTTTAAATTAAGATCAGCTGGTTTTCTAAAAGCTCTGCTCTAGGGATGATTGTGGGGCAGGTCTCTGACCCGTGTTATACAGGGGGGCAGACAAGACGTTCCCAGGCCTAAGCAATCCCCATGACCATCAGGCAATCCCCGTCACTGCCATACAGAGGGCAGGGAGAGATCATGTATCAGCTTTAGCGGCATTGTGGCCTAGTGGACCGAGCACTGGACTGGGAATCAGGAGATCTGGAGTCACCTGTCAGCTCTGCTGGGTGACCTGGGGCAGGTCACTTCCCTTTCCTGGGTCTCAGTTTCCCCATCTGTGAAATGGAGATAAGGATATCACCCTCATTCGTAACGTGCTTTGAGCCCTACAGATGAAAAGTACTATGTAAGGGCTAGGTACCAGCTTTTAGTATTTATCACCACCCCAGAGCCTCCACTACTCCGAGCACAGGACAGCAGAGATCAGACCCAAATATCTCTGGGAACAACACGGCTGCCCAGCACTGCGGGCCAAGGCAGCAACACGAATGTCACACCCTTCTAATGCAGTGACCCGACCTGACAGGATCAAGGCTGACAACATTACAGATATTGCACGAAGGGCACAATGCAGCCGTGGTGCGCGTACCCCATGGAAACCCGGCCCAACCCACAGAGCACACAGCCCCGTGGGACATGCACCTCCCTGCTAAAGGTCTTTCTCTGATGTGTGCACCCTGCAGATAAAGACAGTGCCTGACTGATAGTCACTGGGAGCTCACAGAGGGTCCTGTGGCACCTTTAAGACTAACAGAAGTATTGGGAGCATAAGCTTTCGTGGGTAAGAACCTCACTTCTTCAGATGCAAGTAATGGAAATCTCCAGAGGCAGGTATAAATCAGTATCGAGATAATGAGGGTGAGGTGAGGTGCTCTGCTAGCAGTTGAGGTGTGAACACCAAGGGAGGAGAAGCTGCTTCTGTAGTTGGATAGCCATTCACAGTCTTTGTTTAATCCTGATCTGATGGTGTCAAATTTGCAAATGAACTGGAGCTCAGCAGTTTCTCTTTGGAGTCTGGTCCTGAAGTTTTTTTGCTGTAAGATGGCAACCTTTACATCTGCTATTGTGTGGCCAGGGAGGTTGAAGTGTTCTCCTACAGGTTTTTGTATATTGCCATTCCTGATATCTGACTTGTGTCCATTTATCCTCTTGCGTAGTGACTGTCCAGTTTGGCCAATGAACGGAGCAAAAGG